GTGCCTGCCCCGCACCCGTTGCTTATGACAGCGTCTTGGCCAGCTGTGCGGGGGCAGAGGAAGGGTTGCCCTGAGGGTAGGTGTCCTGGTGTCTCCCAGGGCTTGGTTCCCTGCTCTACCAGAGACACTCGGGCTGGTCTCTTCCTCCATGGCACGGGGACGGGACAGTGGCGCTCACTGAGGATCAAGGCCCGAGTGACCACGGGGCTCGGCCTGCAGGACAGTGGCAGTCAGTAGCTCTGACTCTGACTCTGCCGTCTGCTTTAAGGCAGGTGTGAGCGGGCTCTTCCCTCGCTGCCTGGGAGCGCTCTGTGTGCGGCTGTGAGCCCGTCGGCCAGGCACAGCGGGGGGAGTAGGGCTCCACCTCCCTGCACTGCAGACACGGTAACCGGGTGGCTCTCGGGCCCTTCCTTGTCTCCACACAGACCCTGACGGAGCTGGAGTACTTGAGTCTGGCCTACAACTTCCTGCCAAGGGTGCCCGAGCTGGGCCTGCACAGTCGAGCCACGCTGGTGACTCTGATCTTGCGCAGCAATGAACTTGAGAGTATTAATGGTGAGCCCAGGCAGGGGCTGGCGTGGCCCGGGGGAGGGGCCCCTTGGCATCGCAGGGCTGGAGCAGTTGCTGAACCTGCGGCACCTGGATGTGGCCTATAACCTGCTGTTGGAACATGCCCAGTTAGCACCACTGTCCATGCTGCACAGCCTCAGGAAAGTGAGCCAGGGGCCATGGGGGCAGGAGGGGGAGACCCTGGGGTGTCTCAGTTCAGGGCGGATGGCAAGCTGAGGAGGGCCTCTGGTTGGGGTTCCCGCTGAGGAGAAAACTGCGGTCTCCATGACCCCAGCAGTGGGATTTCTATAGCCCTCACCCTGTCCCCCGTCATGCTGGGACTGCTCCTCTGCTGCCTGGCCTAGGTGACCCAGGCGACTTGCCCTTGGTGGCCCCTGTATGCCAGTGGGTGTGCGGGTGTGGCTGGAGCAGACAGGCACCCTGGGCAGCAGGACGTGGCCATGAAGAACCGGCTTTGCACTGCCCGGCGGAGCAGAACTCAGGGCGCTGGTAGGGCAGCTCTCCGAGTGAGGAGCGTGGCCTGGAGGCCCGTGGCCCTCCGGCTCCGTCTGAACGGAAGCAGCAGGCACAAGGCCTGTGAAGGGGCCGCTGGGAGGGGAGGCTCCTTCCTGCATGGGCCCCTTCGTCGCCAGCCCAGCTGGAGGAGGCGCGTCTCTCGTGCTGGCCCGTTGGAGGATCCGGACACGCGGCTGTTCAGTGACCCTCGCTGTGTTCCTCTCTCCCAGCTGCACTTGGAGGGGAACCCGCTATGGTTCCACCAGAACCACCGAGCGGCTGCCCACGTCCACCTATCTCCCAGGGCAGC